AGAATAAAAAGAAATAAAAAAGTAGGCCTAATTGCAGCGTTTTTTCTCACAATTCTGAGTTTATGGCAGTTTTGAGTTGTTCAGTTCTGAGTTTATTGCAATTCTTAATGCATAACTTGCAGTTCTGAGTTTATATCTCGCAGTTTAGACTGAATGTGAGATATAAACTCAGAATTACAAAGGAAAAAAGACAGAATTGTGAGAAAAAGTAGATTTAAAAAAAAAAAATGTTTTCATATAAACTTATGGTTAGGGTTTAGGTGAGAGTTAGCCTATAGTAATTCTAAGTAGATTTTTCTGAAAATAACGTGAGTGATATTTGACATCCAAAACTCACACTGCAATGCTAGTTGTGGGTGGTTTCCAAGGAGTTGCTATGTGGTTGCCATGGTGTTGGTTTTAGCACATTAGGTGGTTGCTATGCAGTTGCTAGGGTGTTCTGGGATGTTCCTACTGTAGGTGTTTTCCTCCTGTCTGTGTGTGTGTCAGGTGTGCGATATAAAGACGTGCTGGTGGGCATTCCTAAAGAGATCTATCAGAATGAGCGGCGGGTGGCCGTGTCGCCCGCGGGTGTGGAGATGCTGGTCAAACAGGGCTTCAGGGTGCAGGTGGAATCCAGTGCCGGACGCGAAGCAAAGTTCTCTGACGATCAGTACCGGGCCGCCGGAGCCCAGATCACCGACACCAAGGGAGCGTTTGCATCAGATCTGGTCCTGAAGGTGAGAGTCGTGTCTGTTTAACCCCTTAACTGTCACCCCCCATTTTTTAAATTAGGCATGAAAGTGCACTTTCCAAACTTTATGAACACTTTGGAATACAGACCTAAGGTTGGTCTCTTTTTAAAGAAGAAAATTAAATAAAACATTTAAAAGTTAAAGTATTAAAGTATCAAAAAGTTATAGAAATTTAAATTTACTGTAAAGAAAATGCACTATACTAATTTTATTTTATATATAGTAAATATTTTACATAGCAGGTTTTACTCTAAAATTAAAGCCTTATGTCTAAATAAGTTATATTCCAAATTTGAAGTTGATATGAAAAATAACTGAGGTTCCTGTGAGATTTTATTTAGGGCGTTATACCACAAACATTTTTCTAGATTTGTCACAAATGTCTAGATTTCTCTGTAAATATTACTTCTATCTTAAAATAACCACCAAATATGGAATCCTGAGACTCAGACCTTTCCAATGATATGTTTTTTGTCAAGATTATAAAAAGGTTTGATTCTAAAAGACCATAATGCATTTTGTAATATGCCACTTGACACCGCCCACTTAGGGGGAGGAGACCGCTAAAAGATTTTAAAGTAGCATTTCCATGGTAATGCAATGTCCGATTTCAAAATGGGTTTCAAAGGATGAATCTTGTGCTTCTAAGCTTTCAAATGATATATAATTTATGATGATTACTAAAAGATTTGATAGAGAAAAAGGACAACAACAAAAAAGAGCGCCAAGCATCCCACAGGTGGGACGGTGACAGTTAACCAGCTTCAGGCTGCTTTGGGACGATAAAGCGGTTTATATCCTTCAGCTGAGGCCTGAACGACATCTGCTCAGAGGCTCTGGACACAATTACACCTGCTTTATTACTAATGTGATACAGTGGAGTTTATCGCAGTTCTGAGTTCATATCTCGCAGTTCTGAGTTTAATCCCAATTCTGAGTTCATATCTCGCAGTTCTGAGTTCATATCTCGCAGTTCTGAGTTTAATCGCAGTTCTGAGTTTAATCGCAGTTCTGAG